GAAAACCCCCCAAAAGTGAACCGTACCGAGCCGTACCGTGCCGTACTATGCAGTGGAAAAGCGCCATAATAATACTAAACATGCTGCCGCTTGCCATTAAAGGGATAGTTCACCCAAAAATTTAATTTCTGTCATTGTTTACTCACTCTCATGTTGTCCCAAACGTGTATTAATTTCTTTCTTGTGCTGAACACAAAAGAAGAAATTTTAAAGAATGTGGGTAACCAAAGAGTTGCTGGTCCAAACGCAACTGGCCCTGGCACGCACTAGCATGCCTGCTTTTGTCTCGACAGTGGAAACACGGCTATTGACTTAGGAAAAAAAGTACCATGGAAGTCACTGGGGACCAGCAACTCTTTGGTTACCCACATTCTTCAAAATATCTTACTTTTGTGTTCAGCACAAGAAAGAAATGAATACAGGTTTGGGATAACATGAGAGAGTGAGTAAATAATGACAATTTAAATTTTTGGGTGAACTATCCCTTTAATGTTAATAAAACAACAAAATAGAGAAAAAACACTAACTGCTTTGACTGAAGAACTTTAATACAGTTGCTTTAATAAGAATCAATGTATAATTTATACAGTGTAGTGTTTGTAGTGTTTTATTTTTATATTTGTTAATTCAATTTCTTGAATGCTACTTCTAAATACATCTACTGTACCTGAAAAATAAAGCACTGTTTGTTGTATTTGTATTTGTAATATGTATCTTTGTTCTTATTTTTTAATAACAAAAATAAAATAATGACAAAGATTTTTATTTGCCTTCTTTGGCCTAAATGTCTGCCATAGTTTTTTATTTTATATACCTTGTAAGGCTTTGTTTTTAAAATAGGGAGATTAGTTTGGCTGTACTGCTCAGACAACTTGTAAAATAGTTAAACCAACATGACAAAGAATCGTGATCAAATCTTGAATCGTGATATTCCTGAAAAAAAAAATTGTGATATGATATTTTTGCCATGTTGCCCACCCCTACCTGCCAGTCACATAGTTTTCAAGTAAGTTCATAGTTTCCTAAAACAAAGCCTTCGGAAATGGTTACCAAGGGACACACGTAACAGAAGCATAGAAGATGCATTGTGTATAGGCAGTTCTTCAGTAACAAGTGTGTGGTTTGACAGCGTGAGCAAAGCCTGGGCTACATATATACAGAGAAATTTTGTAATAAATGTCATCATTTCTCATCTTTCTGTTTTCACAGTTGGACCGTTTTACACCAACTGTCATGCTCATCAACATCACATTGTTCATTTTTGAAGAAGTGCAAAGACCTGTGTGAAACTTTTGTCAGTATGAAGTGTTATGTGTGCGATACCTGTGCCTTTTCCTTCACGTTGTCATATGAACAATCAGTCAGTGTTACTGATACCATGAACCTTGTTACACAAAACAAAAAAAATAAAGACTTGGGTCACGAAGTGAGTCCGATATTAATTCACTATATAACTGCTCTGACAGATTAATTAACCAAGGATTTGTTAGACTGATAAGAGTCATGCGAGTTATTTTGTCATGAATTTGAGTCTACATTGTTTTTGTTGTGGATAAAATAGGAATGTTGATAGAAATGTACTGTTATACATGTTGGTTTCATATGGTTTAAAAAAAAAATTACATTCATTAAAATGTTAAAATATGTTACAATTACATAGTATTTAAAAAATAAAGTATAAAAAAGTGTTTTTGTCCAGATATCCAAAATGTATTACTTATAAATATCAAGTTTTTGTGGAGTTGCACCACATGACATTTTACATCCTGATTAGCCTTGTCTATGAAAAGGTCAATTTTTCTTTGATTGGGTGTGCAGGGGTCCACTCTATGAGATCATTTCCTGTTTTATATTTTTGTTATTGTTTCTGCATGTTGTTTGCAGTGGTTTGCACCTGAGGACATTTTGAGCAAGTCAGAGCTGACAGCATTCCGTTCCTGTGCCTAAGAATGCTGTCTGAGTAGCATCTCATGAGGTTTTGAGATACAGCCATAACACAATAATGTGAAAGCTCATTGAGTTTTCTTCATAACTACTGCTGGAACATTGCATTCATTATGCTCAAAACTGTTTGAATGGATTCATGTTCATTTCATAATCTTTTTTTCATGGCCGTAAGTAGATAACATTTTGTACTAAGAATCCTGAAAGGCAGAGATAGTTTTCTGGTTCTCCAATAGGGCTGCCCCTGACTAAAGATTTTTCTAGTCGAATAGTAGTCATCTAAACATGCAATTAGTCGATTAATCGCTTCTTTATATTAATATAATGATTTAAATATATACTGGGGTGTGAGGAGCTAAACCATGTGCCTTTAATATATAGCATATTCGCGCTCAAGCACACGCATAATGCTTGCTGGCAAAATGAATGATTATGTGTTGGGAAAAATAACAAGGATATTTTAATTTATTATTAATAAGCTAGTGTTTTCTGAGTCAGTGTCGGCTGCAAAGATGAAGTTGATGATGCTGAATCGCCATCTTCGCAGTACAGTGGACGCGCCTTCAGAGAGAAATGCACCTTTAATACGGATTACATAATCAGAGAGTTTTGTTTTCGATTGAATTGGTTAATTTTAACATTTCAAGCTTTCTATTTATTTCTTAAGTCTGTGAGGCGAGTAGCCTATTCGCTGAGTTTCGGTTCATCGCTCCAGTGTACGGAGACCGAGACGGCAGAAAGTGCATCCAATTTGTTTTCTTTATTTTACAAAAAAATCTAGTTGATATTGTGAGTGTATACAAATAAAAGTAGACCCTTAACAGTTTTGAATGATGTATTACTCTTATCTGTATGAGCAAAAATGATGGCGCATTTTAAGTTGTTTCCAAGAAAAAATGCCAGGGGTCGCACCGGTGCCTCCATGTCATGCAGTAAATGTGCTAATAGCTTCCACACTCCACACAAACACTTGGATATGCGCCCAATAATGCACATTTGTCTAGGTTAATGTTAGAGCAAACGGCCATGTAAAGTTGCTACTACTTACAAATTGTAAAAAAGAAATCCGTGACATTTACAGTAAAATACAGGCAGCTGGGGTTGCCAGAACTTTACTGTGAAAAATATGGTAGCAGCATTTTAGGGTTTACAGACTTAACTTAATTCACAGTAAAAAAACATACATCATCATTAATTGATATAATGTTAATATACCAACCTATTGAAGTATTAATATCCGTTTTGTACCATTGTAATACACTGATAACCACCAAAAACAGGTGGTGATGAGAAAGTCACATGATGAATCAAAGCTCATCACAAACAGCTTTTCCACAAGCTGAGAAAGTAAATACTAATAAATAAAAGGTGCAGTGTCATTCACACAAATACTAAACACCATCATGGTAACACACTGAAATAATGTAATAAACATTAATTTAACAACATTAGATGTAAGATAAAACCCTAACATATGCAATTGATAAGAAAAAAAATAAGAACAAACAGTTGTTTCAATGAAAAAACATCAAATGTGAAGTGTCATGCAGGGAATTCTGGGAATGTCAATTTACAGTTTTTCACTAAATTATACAATGACTTGTTCTTTTTCACTTCCAAAAAACGTAATTTTAACAGTATTTTACTGTAAAATTACATTAAATGTAATTACAGTTATTCACCGTATATAGTATGAAAACTTACTGTTAATTGTCTTTTACTGTTAAAATAATGATCATTTTATTCAGCCCATGTTTCAATGATAAACCATATTTGAGGTTGATGAATGATAGGCAAACGTTTGGATTTTGTGCCCGATCTACTGTAATTACCTCAAGGACCAACGTTTAGTCGACTGTTAGGGGACAGCCCTAATCTCAAATCACAACTGACTGAACAAGGGGCATCACACAGTGACCTTTAAACAGATCAGCTCCAGTACTCAGTGGAGATCTTGGACTAGTCAGTAACTGGATTTCCTGATGTCTTGACTCAGGGAAGCTGCTGCTAATGTCAGTAATGGTTCCCCTCCGTCAGATACGACTTTAGCATGCTCTGCTCTGAAGCTGACGTTGGGCTTGTTGTATAGATAGTGTCTGATAAAGATGTCTGAGTCAGAGGACTCTGTGCTTTCCACAGTCTCTGATGCTGAACTCTGATCTTAACACACAAGAGAAAACAGGCAAACCTAAGCACCGATGTCAGATTTTCACTAAGGCTGACTCATTCCGCCATGAGTTCAGTTCCAGTAATTCCACATGCTCGTCATGTGGCTAGAGTGTGGTCAATTACTTGTCAGCTATAAGACACTGGTATTGAAAAATGAGCCCGTTTCTGGAAACAGAAACATTCCTGAGACGCCTGGAGCAAGTCATAGCGACCGGCCTCCTGCGGGCACTTCAGCGAGACGGGCATGAATGCTAGATTCACACAGACAGCCTGACATTCATGCCACTCGCTGGATTTAAAGCAACAGTTTACCCTAAATTGAAAATTCTCATTGACTCACAGTCAAAATTGCTCCAAACCTTATGTGGAACTCAAAAGTAGGTGTTTAAAACTGTTCATCCGCATTTCTAAACTTGTGTGTTGTGATTTGTTATCATTGTTATGAAACCTGCTGCAATTTTTTGAATATTTGAATATACGTGTGAGAGCAAAATAGATAAATAGAGCTGTGGAGGAGAGGGAATGATTTTCATTAAATAACTTGCGAGGATTTAGGGTCTGTTCTTCTCATAAAGCTATCATATGGCTTATTTTGTCATATTTTGTTTTGGAACTTGACAGCATCCGTCTTTTAAAACTCATTTGCTGAATTTGGAAGGCTTTCTGTCTTCGGTTGTAATACTGCCATATGCACACTTTACAAAAACATCTTTTGGTCAACTGAAGGACTTTGTCTCTGTTGAGTCTGACATCATGTCCTCCTGATGATTAAACTAATGATAAGCCTATATTGGAGCCAGCTTTGTCATCAAAGAAGCTGGTAACTGGTTAAAATGATGTTAATGTAATGCATGTAAGTTTAATTCTGGTTTGTTCTTGCAGGGAGAAGCATTTGATCGGGTCAGCAGCTCCTCTGCACATGCACAGAGTGTTGCCAAAGCCAAGTACCAGTTTCTCTTCGGAAAGACAGAAGACGAAAGCTCATCAGATACTGGTACTTTTATGTTCTTGCATACTTCTTGCATACTCATATATATATATATATTGTATTAGTAAATTGAAACTGCATGTAACACATTTTCTCTTTCACTTACACCTTACTCTTCTAAATGTGTAACATCCTGTTCTTCTGTGTGTAGTTCTTCAAAACACAATCATTAAATACACTGAATTATTTTCACTGTTTTATTTTTATTCAGAAACACTATTTAACATCACTGGACCAAACTACAACAAAACTTATTTTTAGGGATTAAGAAGCGATAAGGTAGAAATAGCTCTTAAAGGTAACAGCTGCAGGTTGCCACTCTTTTCACTGTAGCAAACATAATGCTTTGCTGGTGAAAACTGAAGGAAGGGGAAGTGCATAGGAGTACATTTCGATGCTTTTATGATAAATAATACATATTTGACAGAGGCAACAACCTTGAACTTTGAGAGTGACTCGTGACAATTGAGGGATTTTCTCCCAAAGTTGCAATTATTGATGTTGTGATAATTATAGCAGCATTTGAGCATCAGTTTGACCTGTTTGATGTCGGCTATTTCATGCTATTCAACTGATGCATTATGTCCAACAGTTTTAAGAAAACCACCCGCTGACTCAGAAACCTGCTGGTAAACAGCGTATTTTCTTTCAGTGTTGCCATGTTCAGTTTTTATAAGTATCTTTGGGCTTCTTGTTTCATTAAAGTAGTTCATAAAATGTGTGAATGTATTTGGGTTTATTTTAAAAAGGCCAGTGGCTTTTTTCAGTGGGTTTTTTCAGATCCAGTTTTTCTAGTGAGGTCTTGCAACATTGGTGTCTGTGGAGAGTAATGTATGGGATTTCCCCAAGACCACAGGGCTGATGGGAGAAACTTTAGTGGAGAGAGTATCAGAATTTGTGAGGCAGTGAAGATGCATAGCTTTTTTCTGTGATTTTCTAGCATCCAGTGGCATCCATTCTCGAGCTACCATTTTCCAAGAGGCGGCACTGCATTATCAACTAGTTGTTCAGTTTGGTTCTGTTCACAAATGTGACTGTCACTACCTTAAATGTTTGAGGAGTTAATTTGGTTGTGGAATGTGGATGTCACAGACATAATGGATTGGACTGCACAGAGTGTGATTAAACTCTCAGTAGAGGAGTGACAGCTATATTGAGCTGCTGTGTGTGTTAAGCACCACACACAAAACATGCTCCTCCAAGATCTTTGTGTTTCTGTATCACTGGTGTGTCACGCTTCAGTCTCAACGGCCGTCATGATGAAACCTGTTTCAGAAGTGTACGTGAGTCACAAAGCTCAGAGGTTTCATTGGCTCATGGTTTCCTTGTACTTCTACAAATGACACACATCCAAACCAACAGAAACCAGCAGAGCACAGCAGTGACCTGACATCCCAGTTCATATTATGCTATACACGGGTGCAAAGGGCTTGGGTTCGTGCGCTTGCGCGTTGGGGCTTACAATGACTTACAAAGATACATAACAGCTACAAGTGTATACACTACTTGCTTTATGCAAGCACTATATAGGATAAATCATTGTACAGGATTTACCCTATTATACTTTATCGACAAAAAAAATAGGTGAAACAACAAACAGCCACCCACAAATAGTCTATAAACAAAGCATCAGGCTGTCTTTGAGTTCACATGAACAACGGTTAACGTTACTCGTCGTCAGGCTACAGAAGAATACCATAATTCCTCCATTCAATTAGGCCTAAGACATCGAGAGTCACGCAGACCTATAACAACCCAGCCACAACACATAATTGCAAATAACATGCCTTACCTTAACACAGAATCGACCAGAGTCGTTTATATTTTTTCTACAAATCTTTAAGTTAACATGCACTAAACATGAGTGGAATTTGCACCGCAGCGCCCCCACACCTTGATGCTCATGACAAGAATAGCATGTATAGTTATCTTTATTGAAGTGAATTAGGTTTAAATCGCCGGTCAGGATGGAACGACAACAGCTTCGCGGGCTTATTGTTTTTTTTTGTAGCTGTCGTTATAATAATTAATAATTTTGAGCAGGAGTCCAGGATTGATCGGGAAAACATTTTTAAAATGCACCTACAAAGAAGAGCAATAAGATGGCATTATAAAATAAAGTGCTTACGTAAATTTACGTAATTACCCATTATACATTGTGATATAGCCTGGTTCGTTGGTCCGTTAGATTGGATTGCTTTCTCACTACAACCGAACCGCTCCAGAGTTCGTTTTCAATCGAGCTGAGACCACCTCGTTCAGGCGATCTCAGCCGATTGTTTTGGCGCAGATCCGAGCACGATTGTCATGTTCACATATGCCCAAACAAACCGAGCTAAGGGGGGAAACGCGCCAGGTCCTGAAACAACAGCCCAGGTGTGAAAGCACCCTAAGTCTAACATTCACAGACATTTATATATACTTTATCCACATTTCATATCTGTAAACCAGTGAACTCTTGGTCTTGGATTGTGGATTAAATCAATAGTTCATCCAAAAATGAACATTTTCTCACCCTCAGGCCATCCAAGATGTAGTTGTGTTTGTTTCTTCATCAGATCTGGAGAAATGTAGCATTGCATCAGCGTCTCAGCAATGGATGCTCTGCAGTGAATGGGTGCCGTCAGAATGAGAGTCCAAACAGCTGATAAAAACATCACAAAAGTAACATCACTCCAGTCCATCAGTTAACATCTGGAGAAGTGAAAAGCTTTGTGTTTGTACGAAACAAATACATCAAGGCATTTTAACTTCAAACCATTGCTTCTGGCCAGTTTATAATTCATAATAACGCTTCCTCCAGTGAAAAAGTCCATCTCCTCTTCTCTCTCACATCAAAATCCACCCACACATTTGTTTAGAGCTGTTTTGGACTGTTTTGGCTCGTAAACTTGTATATTTCTCATCAGATGAGACGACTTTTGACCCTTTGACTAAACTAAAACGCAACAAGCATCTAGTTCTCCTCATCATTTAGCTCACAAAATCTGACAGGTTGTTCTGCTGCCTGCAAATAATAATTAGTACACAAGCCCTGCTTTGTTGCCTGTAGAAACCAGAAACCAGAAACCAGTTTTTCTGAGAGGGTTTTACAGTGCTAACTGTTAAATCAAAGCACAGTATCAATATGATATGTGATATATTGGTAACACTTTAATATAGGGACCGATTCTCACTATTAATTAGTTGTTTATTAGTATGCCTATTATTAACATATTGGCTGTTTATTAGTACTTATAAAGCACATACAGTTTTCTGCATGACAACTACCTTATTAACTATTTAACTATTAACTATAAATAAGCAGCAAATTCGGAGTTTATTGAGGCAAAAGTCGTAATTAATGGTTTGTTAAAAGCGAGAATTGGACCTTAAAATAAAGTGTGACCATATATTTTACCTAACTCAAATGTTTAGACGTATTTAACCTAAATGTCCGAATATTTTTTTGTCTTCATTTTGTACACTAGATCTATGGTTTTATAATTTCAAACTTTTTTGTCAGTTGTTTTGCTTTGATATTTTCTGTCCTTTGACATGCAGACAGTGTGTGGCTGAAGTGTTTAATCTTTATCTCACATACTGTACTGAACTGTATTGTAAGTGCATTGGGATGCAGCCTGATGTTTTTGTTCAAATTTTGTTTACAGTACATTTTTATTCAGTCTGTTAAATCATCCATAGTCAAATGCTGCCACCTGGTGTTTGAACAGTTCTGAACAAAAATGGCTGATCCGCTTGATGCTTAATGTTTAATGTTTTACAGATCCTCCTCACATTTCATGATGACCAGCGCTTTCATTTTAGCATTAAAAATGAAAATCACACACACATACAGTGGTTTGAATACACATTTTCTATGAGGAGCAAGTTTTTAATTTCTGAATAAAAAATTCTGTTTTATATTTTTGAAAGAGCATAAAGTAAAAAAATGTCAGGATTATATAATTGTCCTGATATCATGATGAATAAACACTTTCCGTAAATCATTGGAAAGAAAAACTTCCTTACAGCTCTTTGGGGAAAAAAATACTTATTAATATATGAAAAACTTTTGTTTGTTAAATCAAAAACATGTGGTGTAACCGAAATGCAGAAATATGCTGAGAAAACATAAAAAAGGACATGATACCATGACTGTGTCAATAAGTCTCTTTATATATTAAATTATTTGACCTTTTATGACAAGGAATGGTTAGTTCAGGTTGTAAAATATCACGTGGTGCAACTTGCATATCAATTTATGAATTTAATAATGCATGATATTTATAAAAAAAAAGTAAGTATGTGTTGTTAATTAATATTATTCAGTACTTAATTGTGTATTTACACTGTAACAAGGACACCTTAAAATACATACACAAGTGAAACATTTGTACTTTCTCATGTAACACTTTCACACACGATTGGCCATAACACACATACAGATGAAACACTCTGCACCCCACGACCCACTGCACACACAAAAAATTTGGGAAGATTTCATTTTCAGTTGGTTGCGCAAGTAACCTTATTATTATAATAATTATTATTGCTTAATAAACAGCTATCACTGACTGTTTCAGCAGATCCAGAATTAACACCTAATGATCTGTAATCTTAATTTTTTTGGTTTGTCAAACAGTCGCCTCTCCAACCCAAGAGAAACAGGAAAGCGGCTCAGGTCTTGAGTCCTCTCTTGATGACGATGACATTGACGAGACGTCGCTCTTCCAGGAAATTGACAGGGAGCTGTCAAACCTATTGAGCGGCCTGACCGCTCGGAGTCAGCATGCTGCGGCCGAAGAGGACTCGACGTCAGGAGACGCCGCTGCCGCCTCACCCATGATCCCCTGCAACGGGCAAAACGAAACCCTGCCGTCACAACTGGATATGGCCAAGCAGGGCCTGGACATTCAGAACGGCCAGTCCGAGTTAGCAGGAGACTCCCTGCTGTTTGACTCGTGGTGCGAGGCGCTCATAAAGGACCCCAGCTCAGTTATGGCGGCCGCAAACGAGCTGAGCTGCTTCAGCTCTGGGCCCAGTCGAGACCCCAGGAATGCACCGGCCAGCCAAAATAAACCTGACGCCAGCTCAACTCGAGCTGCAGCACATGTGGAGCAGCCCTCAGAGGTGCCCTCCCAAGAAAACGCTGGAAAGGAGATGGAGGGCAAGAGGGTCGAGTCACCCTCGCCCAGTAGGATGGACGACGACCCCACGGCAGAACTGGTGGATGAGTCTCTAGAGGAATCCAATAAAATTCTGGCCGAGATCCCGGGCATCTTCAGCGTCTTTCTGGAGGGGGGCAAACTGCGGGACAAGCCGCCGAAGAAGCTGCGGTTTGTGGAGAGCAGGGAGAGCCCCGTGAACGGAGAGATGCAGAACGGAACGTACCAGAGCTGCAGCGTGAAAGAGGAAGTGACTCTGGACGCGCAGCATACAGAAGCCACAGGAGTGCCACAGGGGCGTGTGCTGAGACCCGATCACAATCCAGCAGAGAACGGCTCAGACAGGTACAGTACCTCTGCATCGCAGTCCTCACTTGTCAAAAGCCTGTTAGATAGTAGAGTGAAACCGCTAATCGACATGAACAAGCGATTTTATATGATACTTTTGTACTTTTAATTCAATTCTAAAAATAGTACCCACCAGTAGCATTAAATTGGCTTTCGTTCAACAGGAAACAACGGTGTTCACAGGTAAATTAACTCCTTATATTTTAATCATTATAATCAATATTATTAACAATTATTAATATTATTGACAAAAATTAATTGTTTTGTTTTCGTAAATGTTTTTTATGTAACTATTTATATAATTATTGTATTATTAACATGTTTTAACCCTCATGTGGTGTTCGGGTCCTTTTTGCTCTGAAAAAAAATTATTTTTCCCGAAAATACTAGTTAATGTTATCGCATTGGACTGAAATTTTGTGACTTTGTTCACAAAGGGTATAACTACTTCTAAAAAAATGTTTGATAAGTGTGATAGGGTTCTGAACACAACACAAGGGTTAATACAATTTTAACGATGCATATGTTTTTTTTTTTTTATATATATACTTTTTAAATTGTTATTATGTGGAAAAATCCAAAAATAAAACAATTAAAAAGCGATTTTGCTTATTGGTTATCAAACGCTTCAACATTAAAATAATCAGTATTGTATTTCTTATCTCAGTTTTATAGCAATTAATATAAGGTTTTGGACTTAACATTTTTAAATGACCACACACAATAACAACTGTGCTGGTCGCTGAGGGAATACATCAACTTTCACCGTGGACAAAGCGGAGTCCAGCCCGGGGCAACATGTGGTTGCCGGTTTCAGAACGATGAGCTTTGTAAAAATCGACGCGTTTCAAAATGGCGGGGCATAGAGGAGAAACAATAATGTACAGTATGTGGAAAATAATGTGTTTTTTTTACTTTAAACCGCATAAACACATTTCATTACACCAAATACACAAAATAATGTTCTTTTTAGCAACATCATATGACCCCTTTAAATGCTCTACACAGATGTTTGATGTTTTTTGGTATTAAATTAAAATATTAATATATTTATAGTGTGCATTTCTTTCTTGACTTGTTTGGCATCTTGGAATGATTATTCCTGACTGACTGTTGCACTGCATTTTGGTACTGCCACAATATAGAAGGCAGCGTAATGATAACAGTTTAGATTAGGGAACACTATTCACTATTCACTAGTTGATTATTAGCATGCAGATTACTAGCATATTGGCTGTTTATTAGTACTTGTAAAGCACATATTTATTTATTAATGCCTTATTCTGCATGACCATATTCTAGATCCCTTAATACCTTAAACTCAATACCTAAACTTAAAAACAACTACACCAACTCCCTTACTTACAATCAATAAGCAGCAAATGATGAGTTTATTGAGGGGAAAAAGTTAATGGTGAATATGTGTTCCCTAATCTAAAGTGTTACCAGCATAATTTATAAATAGCTGTTACTTCAGGAGCGCACCTATGATGGCTATGTAGGCAGCTCACAGAGGTCAGTAAAAGCTGTCTAGAATGAGAGATGTACACAGCTGCACCTTATGCAATACTAAGTGCAATTGTGCTGTTCATCAACTAATCTAGTTACTTTATATATTCAGTTCTCTAATTATCAGTTTCGCTTCCTTTATCCTTTCTGCTTGGTCTTCGTAAGAAATGATCAAGCACGATATAGAGGAAGCGTTGTGTTCACTCTGAGTTGCTAAGAGGAACGAGGCTTGTGGTTTTATAATAGAATCAAGTTTTTTTCAGCTTCCTGTGGGTGACTCTTATGAATTTGTCCAGAACATATACGGCTCATAAATAATGTTTTGCAGAAACAAAACTACATTTATTTTATTTTCATCATCATTTATTTCATAATAATGAATAATCATAATAATATTCAGAATAAATAATTGTTTATTACAGAATACATTTTCATTACTATAACCCAGTCAAAAATAGTATTATAAAACGGAGAGTAAACCTTTGTTTATGTTTGTGTGTTGCTCGGCAACCACTTTGTAGCAACCACAGCTGATTCTGAGGAACTACATTGTTTGGTGGAAGAATACTGTTTATATTAATATCATTACACTTTATTTGCTCTGTTTTATTTAGTGAAACCTTACTACGTATATGGAATAACTGTTTTATAAAAGCAATAAGCCCCGTGAAGCCGTGGTTTACAGTGAATTTATAACAGCTAAGGGGGTTTTAGGCACTCCGCTTCACGTCGACTTCGCTTCAACTTCTTGGGCTTATTGCTTTAGTAATACAATAAATGAATAAATAAATAAATACATACATATGTAAAGTACTTAGTTAAGTTTTTATGTCATGACACTATTTGATTGTACAATTCCAGTAATAAAATTTGTAATAATAATGACACTTACTAAAACCTCAAAAGTTTGAATGCATTATGGAAACAATGGTTTGAGAGGAAATGTGATTAATTCATAAATGAATGGTCCTAAAAAGGCTTTATTGTTTTTATGCAAATATAATTTGTCTTATTCGTTTCATTTTCAGGTGTGATTTTGTGAGATTATGGCTTAAGTTGACAAATTAACATTTGTGACCCTGGACCACAAAACCAGTCATAAGGGTCAATTTCTCGAAATTGACATTTATACATCAGCTGAAAGCTGAATAAATAAGCTCTCCATTGATGTATGGTTTGTTAGGATAGGACAATATTCGGCTGAGATACAACTATTTGAAAATCTGGAATCTGAGGGTGCAAAAAAATCAAAATATTGAGAAAATCATCTTTAAAGTTGTCCAAATGAAGTTTTTAGCAATGCATATTGCTAATCAAAAATGAAGTGTTGATATATTTACAGTAGGAAACTTACAAAATATCTTCATGGAACATGATCTTTACTTAATATCCTAATGATTTTTGGCATAAATGAAAAATCAATAATTTGACCCATACAATGTATTTTTGGCTATTGCTACAAATATACCCCAGCGACTTAAGAGGGTCACATATGTTGTAGTAAATGCTTGAGTTGTATCTATTGAAAAGGACTTTAAACACACTCCTCAAATAGGAAATGTAAACACAAGTCAACTTCTGTTTACATCTTCCTGTTTAGTGTCACACTTTGTGGTGTGCTGCTGTTGATATGTGTTTGTCTTTCTGCCTGTTTCAGGAGTCCTGCTGCAGGTGAGAGTGACGCCACAGATGTCTTCAGCTGCCAGTTTGAGATCATCCTGGAGTCGGAGCGTCTGCGGGGGACTCTCTACAGTAGCATGGACAATCTGTCCAACCCTGCACCTGAACCCAGCTCTCACAGCGCCCCAGAAGCCTCGTTTGCCTTCGACATCCCCCTCACTCCCATGATTCAGCAGCGACTCAAAGACAGAAGTCTGTTCCTGAGCTCGGACGCTGAGGTGCTGAGCGTCACCGCCACAGAGCAGAGCGGCAGGGCAGCTCTAGAGGTGACCTCTTCGTTTCTCTCAGCGGGCTGCGAGGATGCGGGAGCAGCTCTAGCAAACGGTTTAAACGACAAGGACCCCAGAGACTGGCTGCAGGGCTGTTTAAGGTAAGACCATGCAGTTCAACGTATAAAAATGCTGAAAGAATGGCCGACAACTCTTTGACTTTTTTCATGTATTGCATGCAGTGTTGCAATCATTCTCAGCACTGAGCATTGTTTTGTTATTGTTGTTGTGCTGAAGATCTTGTGTACTGGAGAAAACGTGGAGGCTTGAGCTGATTATGTGGCGCCCTCTGCTGAAAAGTCTTTTCCATTGCACTTACAAGTTCAGACCAGGGTTATAATTGTTAACTAAACCTAAAACATTTTTGTTACATGAAATAAAATAAACATAAGCTGAAATAAAGTAAAATATAAAACTTAAACTTATTTTATTTCTGATTTATTTATGATTTTATTTATCGCCAAGGAAACATTTCATTTTCATTTAGTTTATTTAGTTGATGTACTAAAACAACTACAAATAAAAGTAAAATAAAATAACAATATAAATGAATAAAAACTATATTGACATTAAAAGCAATTAAAAATATGAACAGTAGCTATAATAATATCTCAATGATACAAAAATAATTCTGGATTCCAAGATATGACTGTAATTCATAAATAAGAGTTGATGTTAAAGGGACAGTTCACTCAAAAATGACAATTAATCATTTACTCACCCTCTACTTGTTCCAAAATTGTATGAGTTTCTTTCTTCAGAAGACATTTTGAAGATTGTTGGTAATCAGACAGTTGACAGTAGCCATTGTTTTTTACAACATCTTGAGGGTGAGTAAATGATGACGGAATTGTAATTTTTGGGTGAACTGTCCCTTTAATGTTGAGTTGTTGTGTGCCTGTCATGGTGTTGATTCTAAATGTGCCTGAAAGACATCAGACTCATTCAGAATGTGGTGTCACAAAGGTCAGATGAAGTAAAGAAAAAAATATATAATGTTAAATATAAAACTATAAAATGGATAAGGGGTCTTCTTAAGGGTGGTCCATAAACGCCAGCAAACACCAAATTCCTCTGTTAGTGACATCAGTGTTTGATTAAAAGTTTTTTTTTTTAAACTCATTTATTATTATTTATCTTTACTTATTTATTAATAATAGGAATTGGAATAAACAGAATAAACACTGTGCTAACCAGATGTGTCAACGAGAGTAAAATCAGTGTTAAGGGGTTTTCAGACTGACAGCGTGACAGCGTTTATTCTAGTGATTATTTTGAAAACCACCATCCTTAAATTACTTATTAATTCCAATAAAAATCAACTGTAATAATAATTTGTCATTTTAACTAAACCAGAAAGTAGAAGATCTAGTTATGGCAGTACAGCAAAACTATTTTTAATTTTGCTGATGTTGATACTTCCATATTGATTTGCTGTTCACAGTTTCAGAACACTTTCATGATTTTGTGTTTATCGTCATTGAAGCTCATTTTATACCTGATTATACTTCCTCTGTGGCCATATAAACACTGCAAAGACAAATGCATTTAAATACACCGCTGAACTCACAAATTATAGTAATGTTTTTGATGTCTTGTGGATCCCTGTGATTTAACCTGTTTGGTATTTGCTGGTTTGAACATAAGTAAAATTAGCAACAAGAGATAAATAAGGGTTTTCAAGCTTTTGAATGTTAACTGTTATCAATGTGAATATTTGTTAAGCTGTAATTTATTTCTGTGATCAAAGCTGAGTTTTCATCATCATTACTCCAGTCTTCAGTGTCACATGATCTTCAGAAATCATTCTAATATGCTGATTTGCTGCTCAAGAAACATTTCTGAGTATTATCAATGTTGAAAACAGTTGTGCTGCACAAATTTTTTTTTTGAAACCATGATACAATTTCTTCAGTGTTCTTTTCCCATACTTTTAAATGGTAGTGTATTTTTTTTAATGCATCAATATGATAAAATTCAGAGGAATAATGTACAATAACCATGTCATTATCGCAAAATAAGCTTGATAAAAATCAGAAGAACCTAGTTTTTTTGCTGTTGATGTTACTTTTAAACATCTCACTACCCTGAGACTGCAGGGCTGATGGGAGAAATGATGGTTTGCAGAAAAGCTGGCGTCAGAATGAGTCAAGACACGAACCGATATGTCATTTTCTAGAAGATAGTTTCCAAAAGAGAGTGACACCACTGCATTAGCAGTTACGTCACACTGTACTAATTCTGTTAACACTGTGGGTTTGAAGTGGATTCAGTTTTTATGGGTTTGGAATTAATATTTTGTACAATTCAGATTCCTGTAAATAACTGATCTGTGTGTACAGAAGAAGATGAAGCACTCAGAAGACTAATGAGACACAGATCAGCCGAGTTCAAACTGCACAGGAGTGAAGGAGCTCTTGTGTTTTATAGATGAGTGAATGCAGCTTTGAGCTTATTAAGCACTTTATTAAAAGTGTAGAATTTGGTGAACCAGTGCTTATGTATGGATATAATATAATTTGTAAAACACATTTGTGACCCTGGACCACAAAACCAGTCATAAGGGTAAATTTTTTGAAATTGAGATTTATGCATCATCTGAAAGCTGAATAAATAATCTTTCCATTGATGTATGGTTTGTTAGGATCGGACAATATTTGGCCGAGATACAACTATTTGAAAATCTGGAATCTGAGGGTGCAAAAAAATCTAAATATTGAGAGAATCATCTTTAAAGTTGTCCAAATGAAGTTCTTAGCAATGCATATCACTAATCAAAAATTAAGTTTTGATATATTTACAGTAGGAAATTTACGAAATATCTTCATGGAACATGATCTTTACTTAGTATCCTAATGATTTTTGGCATAAAAGAAAAATCAATAATTTTGACCCATACAATGTATTGTTGGCTATTGCTGCAAATATACCCCAGCGACTTAAGACTGCTTTTGTGCTCCAGCGTCACATTTGAGTCCAACATGCACCGAGAGAAACACAGTCTACCACAGCATAACAATAGCGATCAGTAAACATGCATCCTCACCCGCACACTCATCAGAAATCACGCTACATTTCCTCATCATCAGAGCCTTCAGCCCTGCTGTTATTTATAGCTCCAGCACAGCCTCGTGCCCCAGAGCATGATGGATGTAAGTAAAGCACATCGCTCTATCGCTCCATTCACACACGCGTGTTCGGCCCTGCCCCCCCCTCCACCCGTCTGCCTGCTCGGCCGGAGCGAGACGCCGGAGTTGAGCGCAGTGGCTGTAGTGATGAGACTTGCTACAGTAATGAACAAGCACAAACAGAGCACCGTGTCCTAGCAGCCCGCAGGAAACCGCTCGCGCCGTCTCCATGTAGGTCAGAGCCGAGCATCAGGAGTTCGTCCACACGCACCGCCGACCGACTCTCATGGGCTCCGTAGTGTCCGGCTGCTTTTCCCAGCTGGGCCTGTCCGACGCCGAGCAAGCGTCCGTCCAGTAAGTCTTGACCTTTGTATTGCATGACACGCTTCTCAGACGCCATGGCAGCTGCTCCCGGCGCACACGTGTGTGTGTGTGTGTGTGTGAGACTGCAGCAGCTCCCGCATCTGTCCGCTGTGAATGTCCTCTACTGCTGAAAGGTTGAAGCTTTCCTGTCTTTGTGTGAGTCTCCCCTCCCTCATGACTCCAGTGGGCTGATCCTGAAGCACATCATGAATGACAATAACTAAATGTTATAATGAATATATAGTTGCCTGTATTGTAATTTCATTACTCATCTACTGCTGAGTCGAGATCATTGAAACCTTTACCTGTATACGCTGTTAATTTATTGTTGTATACGAAAAATTTCCTGTCTTGAGCGCAAATGCAGGCTATTTAATTTGATAATAAAGGGAATAAAAACGATCAGGAAATTGCTTGTGTTAGGGTAAAGGTGTGGTCATGTTAGCAAAAACTTCGGTAAAAGACATATATGTGACCCTGGACTACAAAACCAGTCTTAAGGGTCAATTTTTCGAAATTGATACCCCAGCGACTTAAGACTGCTTTTGTGCTCCAGGGTCATAAATAAGGTGCTGTCACATTTACAGCAAATTTTGGTGGGAAAAATCCAGTCATTTCAATAGGAATTGACTGGCTCCTCAAATTCTACATAGGGTTCAAGTTGTTCACACGAATTCTGTGAAATTTCGTGAACAAAAAAGGTACTTTGTCTATTGTCAATACTATATCTATGAAGCACAGCTCACACAGAAGTCACTTTCAAACCAAGCAGCCTTCTGCTGGTCAGCGTGAAAATACCAGCTTAAAACCATTGCAAAATCTTTCAGCCTCACACAAAATTTTCCATTACACAGAATCTTATTAAAATAACATTTCACAATGGAGAAAAATTTGTCGAACAACAGTAAATATGAGCGCAAGGGTTTGTTCTAAACAACATCCTAATATGCTGTTTTAAACTCAGGTAAGGCTTTGTCAAACCAACATTCAAAACATGATAAAGTCTTGATAAACTTTCTTTTGCTAGTATTTAATGATGTAATTTTTGCAAGCAGCTTCATCATTAATGTGATGTTGTCTGCTACAGACTGTCTAGCCTTCCATCAGGATTTTATAGATCGCAGTATTTCTCTGAGAGCTCTAAATGCACAAACATGCAGTTAATATTAGTATTTACTCTGCATAATTAATGGTGTGTTTGTGAAATTGGGCTGTTTGGGAGGAAATGAATTGCTTTTCTAAGTCATCATGCTATTTATATTCCTCAGCGCTTGTCCCCAGACCATAAGCCTTGTTCTCAGTAATGCTGATTAAAGCAGTGTTCAGTTCTTCTGCTCTGTGAGGTGTCACCCTTTACTTCCACATGGTCACGCACGCGGAGGTAAACAGTGTGTGTGGCAGGTGCTGATGTCATGTGATGGGGCGTCATGGGCCCTCAGCTGCTCTAGAGGAAGTGGCTCTCAGCAGCGCTCTGGGTTTGTGCCAGTGCTGGAGGTGTGAGTCAGCACCAGCGGCCCGGTGCCAGGCGTCTGTCTCACTGTCCCGCACACAGACCTGTTTCATTTAACGACCCTTCATTTCACCACTCATACATTTTGCCTGTGTCTTCT